GTGCGAGGCCGCAGGTGCTGCAGGCCTCGGCCCGCTGTGTAGCCGGTGTCTGTGTGGAGAGGTGGCCGCGGGTACTTGCCGTGTCGCAGCCTGACGGCATTGCGGGCTCTGCAGGCTTCACTGCCAAGGGATGGATGGGGCTTCTCCCACATGGTGTGGGGGGGGAATGGTGAAACCCTGGATAGACCACCCGCCGGCAGTGTCCGTGTGGATAGCGGGCGTGTCTCCAAACAGTGCGCTGTAGTCAGCTGCTTTAGCGGACCAGAGGCGCAGGTCTTGATGTGCGCCTCTCAGTAGAGTTGTGGAGATTATTCAGCTCTGCCTGCCAGGCTTCGGTTATGAGTCTCCGAGATGGATTATTAACGGAAAGAATTAGGGAGGATTACAGCTTTTCTGCTCTTCACAGAAGCCTGGGAATGGTCATCCTGCAGGCTGCAAAAATGGGTTTCTGTGGTAAGGTGGGACTGGTATTGTTCATTCAGCGATGCTAGTGCAGCACAGTGTGCTAGGAGCTAAGCGAAATAATTTTAGTAGTTTATGTAAAAGTGGTAGTTGTTACCTGCAAGACGTAAACTACTGTAGTATCCAGGGTAAGACACCCCCACCGCCCCCTTTTTTTTTCTTTAATAAAAATAATGAATATTACAAGAACTTTTGCTTTTGAAATAAAGGATTATCTGCAGTTTAGAATCCGTACTAAAGATGGTGTTTGTCCTATTTGTGTACTGAAAAGTTATGTGTAGCTTGGAACAGTGCTTTCTTAATAGATACAGAAAAGTTGCAGCTGCCATCTACTCAAGAATATTGGAAAATTTCACTGATTTTCGATCATGCTTATAGGTCAAAACTGCATGAGGTTTTTTCTCAGCTCTGATGGCTACAGCAGTGTAACCTGAGCATTGTGCTTGATTGAGAATCAAGCCATTGACTTTGAATGATTTGAGAACATATAACTTCACTGCCATTATGACAGAATATTTTTTGAAAGAGTAATTACCTGCAGTATCTCAGTTGCTTTTTACCTTAAACTACACAGAAATGTGGAACTTCTTTTAATAATGGCTGATATTTAATTTGTTTTGTTGACTTTATGAAAATCATCTTAGAGATGGCTGAAAATGTTACAAGGAGAAATATAAGGGAGGCTTTTAATCATTAATTGACATGGAGAAAAAAGGAGATATTAAAAAGTACAAAGTCTCTCTGGAAGTAAGCCATATCACTGTTGTTTTAGTTGAATCTGAACTTTCTGAAATGAAGGTTGATTTACTGTGCACTCATGGAGTTTCTGTGACTGTGCTTTGGTTCAATACTGCTTATGCTCTTTGTCCCACAGAAGAAAATTATTTGCTATCAGTCTTCTACTCATTAAATTCTTCAACTCATTCTAGCCATTTGCATTCTGACAGTAGGTGGACCACACAGAACAGAAAAGCTGCTTACAAAGCAATCGGCTGAAAGTAAGATTTAATTAGGTGCAAGTTAGTTTTATTCACTCATTCTTTGCTAACTATGCTTTTCTGTTTGGAAGAAACTAGCAGTTTATCAGAGATTTAAAATTGGGCATTATCTTTTTAAAGGTAGCTTAAAATAGGACAGATTGGAGGTAAACAAAGTAAGGCATTGTTAATGTAAGTAAAGTTTGGGCTTTACACCACCTTTACTCTTGGCAAAGGCCACAGCTTTTCTCAGTAGAATTAAAAACCAGTATAGTAGCATAGAAAATTATTGGTTCACAACTAACCGAAAGCATCTAAGAGATACATATTTTGAACAATGTAAGGTATGCTTTGGGGAGACCCTAGAGCAGCCTTCCAGTATCTAAAAAGGGGCTATAAGGAATCAGGAGAGGGACTTTTTACAAGGGGATGTAGTGATAGGACAAGGGGGTTTAAACTGAAAAAAGGTAGATGTAGATTAGAAATTAGGAAAAAATGCTTCCCTGTGAGGGTGGTGAGATACTGACAGCCCAGAGAAGCTGTGGCTTCCCCATCCCTGGCAGTGTTCAAGGCCAGGCTGGACAGGGCTATGAGCAATCTGGTCTGGTGGGAAGGTGTCTGGTGAAGGCCCCTCCCAACCCAAACCATGCTGATACTGTGATTCTTTTTCTGAAATACTTGATGCTTTTGTGAACAGAAATGTGTCTGGCCTCAATCACATAACTTGGTTCTTTGAAATTTTTTTGTTATCTTTGACCAAGGCAATGTTCAGACATACCTGGAAGATGATTAGCAACCATTTGCCATTTGTTTTATTAAACAGGGTGTTAATAAAGGTGAAAGAAACATAAATGTACTTCTTACAGGCATGCGTGCATCAGCTCTGTTTTCACTCGTGTGAAAATAATAAATAGGACTTAATACAGAGTAATGATAATTTTTTTCTTACCCACAGGTCTTGGTAAGTAGGGGTTTGTGTTTAGAAGTTAGTGGACTTTGAATAATTTACCACCCAAGAAAAATCAACATTTCTGCTTATGTTTGGGGTATCTGACAATCTGCTTAAGTATGCATTTAGTGCATATTGATTTACTTAAGCTCTTGGCTTTCTCTTAATTAAATTATGTTCTAACTGTTTGTTTTTCCTTCAGTGCCTTGCGTTCCACGATATTTCACCCCAAGCTCCAACACATTTCCTAGTGATTCCTAAGAAGCCTATTGTCAGGTTATCAGAAGCAGAAGATTCTGATGAATCTGTAAGTACTCTTGAAGCTTTCTGTACATCAAACTGTACCTCTTAATTACTTCATAATTTACTAGGCTATTCTGCTTTTGCTCTTGACATTTCAAAGAGGTAGAACAGTTTTCTGGTGGTATAATCCTTTTCCTCTACCTTAGAATGGGAATGGAGTTAAGGTTTTCCAGTGAGAATGGTGGTATACAGAAAAGTGTATCTCTGGGTATGTATTTGCAGTGCAAAACACATTGTTATTTCGGAGTACAGTCTTTATGTCTGTTTTCATGGCTTACTGGCAGTACTGCTTATTCTAATATGGGTTTGGGGTTTTTGGCAGGTAAGAGATGAAGAATGGGAAAATTAGCTGAGAGGTGCTGAATATTTGATTTGTAACTATAAACATAAAGTTCAAAGATTTTGTAAACCTTTACCTGATAAGGTAAAGCTGCTTTTCCACCAGAATGGTATAGGCTGCCTGAAGAATTAATGGGGGCTTTAACCATGAGATAAATTTAGCTTCTGTGACACTTCCGTAGTTCATTACTGTCTAGCTTGAAAAAAAAATTTTTGCCCCCCTATATTATGCACAGTTAGGCTTTATAGCTTTTCTTGGAAAGTGTCGGTTGCAGACAGACAATTGGAAAAGCAGTGGCTGAATTTTTGAGAGTTAGCTTACTGGCTTGTCTGAATGGTTCTCTGCTCTCATTCCTTCCCTTCCTGCCCTCTCCCCTTTTTGTGTGTTTTCTGGTTTGTTTCTTTTTTTTTTTTCTCTCTCTTTTTTTTTTTTTTTTCTTTTTTTTCTCCAGCTTCTTGGGCATTTAATGATTGTTGGCAAGAAGTGTGCTGCTAACCTGGGCCTGACCAATGGATTCCGGATGGTTGTGAATGAAGGGCCTGAGGGTGGGCAGTCTGTCTATCACGTACATCTCCATATTCTGGGTGGCCGTCAGTTGGGCTGGCCTCCTGGCTAAGATTACATCACAAGAGTTAACTGCATGCATACATATTACCACCAGATAGAGTTAACAATGTTGCCCATCAATCTAGCCACTGTAAATGTATTTTTTTTTCAGTGTATGTCTTCCAAGGGTAATAAATGCTCTGAATAACATTCGCACAATAAAGATATGGCATGTGAGAATTGTCTGTGTGTGGTGTGCCTTACTGACAGTAAAAATTCTGTAAGTTAAAGTGGTGTTCTCCGAAGTGTAAGTATGTGGTGTGCTTCAGTCTGCTGTTAAGAATTTTCTGTAGATTGTGAGTTTTCAAGGCATTTGAAACCTTAAGTTGCAACTGCTTAGCAGTTTCTCATTTCTTTTGGAAAGAAAATTTCTAAGCTTTTTGAATGTGGTATGTAAATATCCATAAAGCCAGTGTAGGCTGCTGCTAGAACTTTTTTGGGGAAAAAAAAGGGCTGTGTCAGTACAGTGCAATGTGCTGGAAACATACAGCTCCTGTTGGAGCACTCAGTCAGTGACTGCTTTTATAAAGCCCTGTCGTTGTGATGAGAAGGGATAAAACAATAGTCTTAATGGCAGCTGTGATGGTTCCATAGCACAGTGGTGTTTACTTCTACATCATTATTTTGATGGAATTGAGGATTTGAAAATATTGAACTGTAGTCTAGGGCCTTGTAAGATGCTCAAGGCATTTCATCTTGGCACATAAGTAACATGATGTACTATGTATACGTTTTAGATACCAGATGGTATTGGGTGGGCTTTGTCCTTCAGTGAATTTTGCTGCATAGTTTTCATGCACCATTGTCATCATATTTCCAAGACAGTGAATTTCCTGAAGTTGGGTTTACATATGTGTATGTCAGTGTAATTATAAAATATTACTGTTCTTTCTGTTAAAACCGAGCAGTCCCAGCTAACCAGTTTTTATAATGGAAGATACTTGGAAGCCTTTAGGCAGATGCCTTACGAAAAACTGGGGTATTTGTGAGCACCAAATGTGTTAGAAATGTTGCGATTTCTATTCAGATAAAAACTTGTAAGTTTGGTTAAAGGCATTTGAATTCATTCAGTGGGAATGCCCAGAAGTACTATGAGAAAACCTTCAGATTTTTTTCTCTAAGGCAAGATTTAAACTGGAAAATCAACTAGCACTTCTGAAGGTGACTGGTCTGTAGTTGTGTTAGGAATAAAGAAGTGGTCCTCTACTGGTAGCCTGTCAGCTGTTCTCCTGGATATCCTGCACAGATGTGAAGAAGAAAACCACCCAACCCCCAGCAGTACCTCAACCCCGAGCAGAAAGAATGTGTATCACAAGAATGAGGTATCAATAGCAGATGCTTCATATCAAAATCAACATTTCTGAGTTAAAACATGACTGGTGAAGTTAACTGCATCACAGCTGAACCCTGTATGAAAGTTACCCAATACAGCTTTCGTTGCTTTATTTGGAATCTGAGGCAGAGGTACACTTCTCAGGAGTATAAAAAGACTTCCAGGTGAGGGCAGAACCGTGGAACCATTGCAAGAATAGCCCTGAGGCAAGCTTGCTAACTAGTTTAGGTGTGCTTTGATTTCACATGAATGTGTTTGGCTGTACGTTGGAAATCAAAGACACATGATGAGTAGTACTGAGCTTAAGACTGCTGTTAGGCAATGGTAAAGTTAATGCGGGAAAGATAATTGAAGGATTCCCTCCCCTCCCCTACCCCCCTCTCCCCCCCTGCTAATTTGTGGCTATTAGCAAATCACTGAACCTTAAGGAAATGGGAGAATTGGGTATTAGTTGTCCTCCTGTGGCTTTTAAAAGCATCTGTCATCTTTTAGCATTTGTTGCTAAAAGGCAGACTTTGGCCTCCCTGTCACCAATTTTCTTCTACTCGAGTTGCAGTCTGTTACTTCTGTGGCTAGGTAATTAGCTCTGGTACAGCTGTAAGGCCAGTTAGTAAGTGAGATGTGTTAACATGGAGACAGCAAATGTCATACTAGATTAAAAAGAACAACTTAGGGAGATGGACATGGGAAAGTCATTACTGATGAATCTGAGACACCCACTGGAAGATGTCTTGGTCTCTTCTATTTCTCCAAGTAATCAAACATAGTTAGGTGACAAAAGCCTGTAAGAAACCCAAGGACTTCACCCTTAGTTGATCTTCATAGGTGGAAAGTGAAAATGCTTTACCTGAAGTAGATAGAAGCTGATCTATGGTCTGAAATTGAATTGCTGTAGTGCTGATGTTCACTTAACTGAATGATTGAGATAGGCAACATTTGTTACGTCTCTGTAAACTCCCTGAGGTATCTGGAATGTGTTCCTGCTTTTCAGAGGTAGGGGTGGAGTGGGGAGTGTTTTCTGGAGCAGTAGGGGAAATTTTGAAGAAACTTCTGTATAAATTCAGGAAGACTGGATTATTGCTAAATTTTAGTGGTGTCTGGTGGAATTTATGTCCCGTCTTTCAGGTAATACCACTCTTACATTGTTCCAAATCAGAGGCAGAAAATAGGTGTTAAGCAATAATCCACTGAAACAGAGCTTGGCATGGAAAATTACTGGTAGAGAAGGCTTATGGACTATGTTTATTTATTGCATTTTAAGGGTAAAACCCTCAGTAATCAAGAAGTGTGTATACTGCAGTATTTTAGTTTGGATCAGAACTGTTCTTCCCAAGTGAATTTGGCTGTGTTTTAGTGTGTATTCTTGGAGCAGTTTTGGGCTTTTGGGTTGGATTCTTCTTAAAGGAACTGGAAGGTGCATGCTAGGACAGACCAGATATATTCCAGCCACAAATACGCATTTGGTCTGTGTGTCCAAACTAGAGCAAGACAAAAGACCAAAAATCAAAATGCTGAAATGTATGTAGCATGGGTGTTAGATTCTCAGATTAGCTTTACAGATTGACTCTTCCTGATTAGTACTGCTTGCTAATGTAGGATTTCTTGTAAAGGGGACATCTGTGGGGATGGTAATAAAGGTATGAAAAAGAGGCAGAGCTTACTGACACAGAAAGTACGGAATGAATCTCAGAAGATCGTGAACTGAGAAGAAGGATTTGAAATTTTATGAGGGAATTGCACGGAGAGGGTGAGCTTTGAAAATGTTTTATTGTCTTCAGGACAGTTGAAAAATACAGAGTGCACTCACCACTTCAAAGGATGTGTCTGCAGCTTACAGAGCAACACAGGATACCTGATCATTCAAGGGAATGAAATGTTATGTCAAGTTTATTATTTTTGTCCAGCTTGAAATAATGGTTACCCTAACGGGCTTGGATTTGTTCAAGCCCTCTGTGTGTTGGGGTTTTGTTAGTATCTGGTGCATGTTATTTAAAGCAAAGAGGTTGATCTGTTCAGGAATAAATGTCAGGGATGTGTTTAAAAGAGCCATGAAAGACTTTGAAGAGTCTTCTCTAGCTCCAGGTTGCAGTGGAGCTACATGAGAGTTCCCTTTTCTTTAAAATCTGTGACGGTACTTAGACTGTTCTGGGGCTTAAAATTACACAGAGACCTGAGTAACCCTCTGATGAATGTCCAAGAGAGAGAACTAAACTACACAAGCGACATTACTGTCAGTTTTTATGATGTCAGTCACTGAGTCTGAGCTAAGTCCTCATAGGTATGACATTACATATTCTTTCAGCTATTGAGCTGTCCATACCTTCTGGACCAAGCTGACCATGTGTACCCATGTAGTTCTTGAAAACCCTGTGACAGGAAGTGTTGCAGATTTGGACAAGCCATGCTGACATAGGCTACAGCTGTCTTACTTTCTCCTTTTTTTTTTTTTTATTTTCCCCTTTTGTATTGAAACTCATTTCTGTGGACCAGCTTGAATTTCTTTCAAGAGCTGTGTTAATCTTTTACCTGATTATGGGTGTATTTGCTATGGATTTAAATAGAGTTCTCTCTTCTCTAGTTATTGGGGAAGAAGAACAGCCATGGCAATAGTTTCCATTAGTTTTTAACAGACAGCAGAACACAGTCTTGGTTTATTGTTGTTTCCAGTTCAAATTCCTGCCCTTTTGTCAAACTGTAATAATGTACTCCAGCTAATTCATGGTTGATAGTGAAGAAACTGGGAAAAATCAAAACCTAGTCTAATACTGTTTGGCAGAGCTGTCCATCAGGGTAGACAACCAGGTTTGTGCTCTGTACCAGTCATTAAGGAGTTGAAAAGGAGATGTGGGCTTTATTTCATGCTAATGTGCTTTCACAGGACACTTGGTCTAATTCCAGGTGGAAAAAAAGCTTTGGACCTAAGCCTAAAATGCAGCATCTTCTGCGCAGAAGAGGGAGAGCAGGGTGTGGTTTAAGGGGAGGTCACTACTTTAGTGATTGCGGTAGTAACATGACTTTGGAGATAGGAAACTTGGAAATATCTGGGGATCCAACCCCTTTGAGGGAGAAGTGTCAAGGTGGCAATTTTTTATTTTTTTTTTATTTTTTTTTTTATTTTTTTTCTCTGAGAAACAAGGATCTTGAGAGAAAAAGCATCTAGAGGTTCCAGAAGAAAAAGGTTACCTCTTCTCAACTTGTGGTAAAAGTGAGAAAAGAACTGACAGTCCTGCATGTTCTGTGTGTTGGAAACCCAGGAACACCTATGAAGAGGTTACTGACTAGATGTGAGATTAGTTAACTTGGTCAAAACGCAATCTTACAGGAGACAATGCCATGAGGATGTGAAGGGTGAAGGGGCAAGTGAGGCTACAGCTGTAGTTACTGGCACCGTCAGGATTTGTACTGTCGGTTTGTCTGAAGGTAAGTACTGCTCAGTCTTTCATAACAGATTTCAGTAGCAGAGAAGACTCACAGCTGAGAATAACTATATGGCAAAACAATTGGGTGTATTTGTTTTGTTGTAGTGGTAGCTGTGCTTCTGTCAATTCTTGTGAGTGTGAAAGTTCTGTTACTGTTATTGTGCAGAAGATAACAGACGTTCTAGAAACTTGATAAAACATATAATAGTGTATGTTGGTTGAAAGGTGAAAAGTGTATGTGGAAAAGCACCACTCTACTATCTCATAGTGGGGAGGATATAAGCCATGCTTGTGGCTTGTATTTTGTTTGAAACTCTCGGGGGCCTTGGAGTTATGGTCATGGAAAACAGGAATAATTCTGTCAATTTATTCATAAAGTGTTCATCTGTGCTGCAGGTATTACTTTTTTTTCTTCTTCTCCAAGAGTCT